TGCCTGTGGCTCTCAAGAGGCATTTTTAGAGCCATCTTTCAAGCTAGCAGAACCCAATCATTGTGGACCAAGAGGTGAGGTCGTACTGCAAAGAACACTGTGACTCTGACATAGCTGTTTGTTTCAGCTGCAAAGATACTTCTGTACACATGGTGGAGGTGATACCTCTATTTCTCTTTCCCTGAAGAACCCATGACCTCTTCCCTGTGATTCACAAGCTTCTGGAGTACTATTTGGCTTCATTTTATTTTGCGTGCAGGTCAAGGGCCCATACCTTGGTTGTCTTCAGTCTTTCACTTCCTCAGTATCTCACCTGCTTCTTTTAAAGTTCATATTCCTCTCTTTTGGATCCTGTTCCACCTTTTCATACTTATAAACATCTTATCTTCCTTCCAGATCTTGGGTAATTTTATGATTTTTTTTCTTTTCCCTCATTCTCCTGCTACATGGCTGTGTCCATGTCCCTTCACACCTTCACCACTGCTCCTAGGTTTCATCCTCTCCTGGTTCTGCATCCTTATGCCTTCCTCAGTGGAAAATTATTCTGGTGGCTTTCCTCTAAACCTTGAGGACTCTTTAGGTCATACACTGGACTCAAAGCAGAGTTATTACCTTAAGACTTTCACTGTGGGTTTTGATCCATACCAGAGAGGAGAGCACTTTGCAAGAAATAAGCAGAGCAAAGGGGAGAAAAAGCTAGTCCAGACCTCAAAGAATTTAATGTAACAAGATAATATGCAGTGTGAGTGACAATAGCACTTTGTGGTGGGAATATAAAGGAAGCAATAAACATCTGAGTTTGTTTGTGTTGGAGAATCAAATTTGTTAATGGAAGGCAAATTCGTTCATGATGGAAAAGACTAAAAAACAGGATGAAACAGAGACCAGAGATGGAAAAGCAGGATGCTGTTCGATCAGGTTGATCTAGTGATAGCTTAGTTTTAACATGGATGACCAGTTGCTGGTTCAGAACAGGATCTGCAGTGGTCCCACAATGCATGTCACAGTGACTGGTACACCAGTATGACTGCCTTACACAAATCCATGTGACCTCTTGCTAAACAGAAAATCGTTGTGCAACATAAGCAGAAAACAGACTTAGCAGGTCAGTCATGTGTCTGTCAGGCCTGCTGACACTTATGGAAAAGGAAGAGACAGTTCTTGTAAACACTGTGTAATTTAGTGATGCATAGAATTGAAACAAGATATATCACAGCAAGTGAATTGTTTTTAAAAGTTACAGCCTGCCTCCACCAGAAATGGAATACGTTCAAGTAACACCAAGTAAATTGTCATAGCAATATAAATTTTAGGAGGCAAAATCATATTCTCTTCTTGTCTGACAGCCTGAGTGCTGCCTTTTCCCAGCAGCATATTATGAAGACAACTGTCTCTCTTGTCTGGTAACTCACATTGTAAAGACAGAGCCAGGCTAAGTAACAGACCAGACCCCAGGTTTTCCAGCAAGCATCCCACATGTCTTCAAAGAGTCCTTCTGAAAGTGAAGAAAATGTTAGAATTGTGTCCTTGGTCTGATCTGCAGGAAGTCTGGCAAAAAAAAGCCAGAGAGACATAAATTTTCTGTGCAACCAAAAGTGCATTTGATTTACCTGCTGGCAGGACCTTACTCACAATGTGTGCAGTGGGAGAAAATGTTGTGGTGAGTCACTTCTTGATGCTGCTCCACTGTGGCCCATCACCATGACATTGGCAGTGTGTCCACACCTTCTTTCCTCTCAAATGAAAGCAGTGATGGCACAGTCCCCCACCAAACTGGCAAATGTTCCTTCTTGAAGTAACCCTCAAAGAAGGGGTTGGTGACTTTGCTCGGAGGTAAGACTGCAGTCTCCTGCCTGTGCTCTCACCCAGACACCTTCCCAAGGGACAAGCTGCCCCATATCTCCCCAGCCACTAAGGTGTCTAAAATGTGTCCTCTTTTCAGAACAGAAAATCAAATTAAAAGATTTTTGCACTGGACATGGAGCAGGGAAATGTACCTCCAATAAAATGTTATTTGCTGGAGGCTTTTTTCCCACATTTCTTCTCACAGAAATAAACTGCTGTTCTTGGCTGGTATGCAAAGACATTAATCAGAAATAACACAGGCAGAAAGCAACAGATGTTGGCAGCAATGCTGTGACACTTTATTGTGCTCCAGCCTGTAAAACAGCACTGAAACCTTTGACATGGCTGATGTCACTTGAGACCCTGGGGGTTCTTCTATCCATTCAGCATCAGTTTCATTCCAAGAACTTGCCCGTGATTAATTTCTGTGGGGTATTGTGGGGGCCACAAGTACTGCCTACATGCTCACTTGGATGGGATGAACACTTCCTGCTGAAAACAGCCCATCCTCAAACCATTAAATTGCATTCAAAGCATTTAATTGGAAACAGGTTTTCCATTTGAAGCTTCCTTACAATTTTAAGAACCAGATCTAAACCAAAGCCTTGTTCCCTAACCCAAATTTCATCACAAACGCTACACAAAAGATTAATTTAGTGCTCAGTGAATCACATGCTTTGGCCACAAGTGATTTTGTTCTCTGCATCCACTTTGACAAAGAAGACTGAAATGTTAAGAGTTAAGTTTGAGCTGGATATGCTTATGAGTTTGGATGGCTGGGCTTTATTTTTGTAGTTGAGCTAGAATTGAAAAACAATCCTAGACAGATTAGCCCAGGGCACTCCCCAGCTCCAAGGCTGGTTGCATACCAAGCTTAGCAAAACACAGGCGCGAGCTGGGAGCACGCAGCAGCCAGCAGCAGCAGCTTTCAGAAAGGCTTCATGGGATCCCTGCTCTGCTGAGCTTTTCCAGACTTTACATTGCTCCCTACCTTCTCCTTGTTTTAGGCTTTGAGCAGCCTGCTGACTCTGGAGTTATATTAGCCATATTCCTGCTCTAAGGTACTCTGGTGTCTGCCATCTTTTCCTTCCTTTCACTTAATCCCATCCTCTTCTGCTGAAGGATATTCTGTTCACATAATTTTTGAGAGCAGCCCAAAGACCTGAGAGTAGTCCAAGGAATGCTGCAGGCCCTGAGCTACAGGATCAGCTCCTGAGGCAGTGGGTTTTTTCCTCCATCCCTCTGCTCCTTTCCAATATTCACTGTGGAGTGTACAGGGGCACAATCTCACAGGAGGACATGAAGGTCACATCCCAAACAGAGGGAGGAAAGCAGCTACAGGGGAAAGGGGTCCTTCCTCTCCCTCCTGGCAGAGAAGGTGAGGAGTGCAGTGGGAACAGAGCAGGGGCAGAAGCCTCACCTTCTTTAGCTCTGGGCAAGATTCATATCCCTCCAGCCACTTCTCCTCCCCCTTCCTGTTACATTGGAAAAGTATTTGCACATAAACAAAAAGGATTTGGGCAAAGAAGAAGCAGAGAAGCACATCTTTAGTTTAGAAATTGCTAAGAAATGGTAGTAAGGGAATTATAGGTGATTTGCATAGAAGCTGAGAGAAATTATCACTTCCAGTGATAAAACAGTAACTCCAGAGTGCCTAGCGACCCAGAAAGGTTGCAGCGTAGATGCTGGTGATATTTCAGGATGCAGTCCCAGGCTTTGATAAAAGAATAAGAGAAGACCTACAGGATAAAGGTAAAATCCAAATCAGGTATTTATTTCATATTTTTTATTTCAAAACCAGGAAACAACCACATTAATAAGCATATAAAATCCATCAGAAATATTCACAATGCCGTTACAGAAAAAGAAATTAAGAAAAATAGGCCTACACATTTCAGTCCAAGCCAACACACATCTGATGCAAAGTATGGAATGCTCTTATGCACAGCTGTGAGAGGAATTTCCTAACATACAGAGACCCATACAGAAATATCATGTCTGGATGTGCTGGAGGGCCAAAGGAAGGGCACAGAAATCTATGTAACTGAGCCAAATATCAAAATTGGGAGAGACATCTTATGTAATACTTCTGTGAATAAATATCTGGAATGTAAGCCTCAATAAAAAGCTTGGGAAAACTGAATGTAATATGATTACATTGTGCAAAGCTGGGGCATTTCAAATTAATTCACAGGAAGCATTTAACAGCAGCAAATTTAACTGATCTTTGCAACTGTTTCTCATTAGGGAAGGTAGAAATGTCATCACTAGTTGCTAAAAATGTCAGACAGACCCCCCAGAATATACATCAGTGGGAATTTCTCTAGCCTGCTCTGAAGCACTATGTTGGCAAGAAAGCTTGGGCTATCCATGCTGCAGAAGTCTTGCTGTCATTCCAACCTTTCTTCCTTTTACCACCTCAGAACCTGTGGGCCTACCTCTTTTCTAGGATATCCAGTGATGAATTCCTGCAGGTTGACCCAAGTCTGACCACATTCAAAAACTGCAGCTTGATCTCAAAAGAGCAGGAGTGTGAACTGGACCTACCTCTGTGCTACCTTTAGATATTTTGTGCAGGTCTGGACAGGCACGGGCCTGGAGCCTGTCACAGAACGCTGCAGGGATTAAAGCTGCCCCTCCTTGACTGCAAGTGTACCCTAGGCACTACTTTTTGCCTGCCTGAGCTAGCTTGGCAGCAAGGGTGGGGGACACAAACTCAATTGCCCATGGAATGACAAGCAAGGAGACCAACGTTTACTGATGAACAATTACTGCCTGCCACATCTCTTAGAACAGAGGCACTATAACAGAGCTGTACACATCTACAAAGCACACTGGTGAGCACCACAACATCATGCAGACCTTCCAGAGAGGATATATGGGGCAAAAAACACCTGGCCTTCAACCAAGCAGGGGACTGAGCACTACAAACCTTTCGCACTGCTAAACCAGCAAATTCCAGTAGCTCTGGTGTCTAGTCCTGCATCTCTACTCTCATGAACTAACATGTACCACAACTGACCATGCCTGTGTCCAGGAGGGTCATGCTACATGACCCTCTGTAATATTTATAGGAACAACTGCTAAGAAAATACAGCTTTGAAAAATAATCTTTACCCTTGCGCTCCTTTAAATGACAATCTGCTAAAAATCTGCTAGTTTCAGAACTTATGATGTACTAGACTATAACAGAGAAGCCAAAAAGAAATAAAATTAAGAGAAGGCAGGAAAAATTACCTTCTGGTTTGCAATCACCACCCTCAGTCATCCATAGAATGCTTAAAACCATGTCTGAAAACATAATCCAACAAAATCCATTTTAAGATGCAATATCGCACTCTTATCAACACTTGAGAACAATTATTTAAAATAGCCACCAAAAATCCCTAATAACAGATTTTAGTGCAGAAACATACCTCTTCTCACAAGTACAGAGCTCCTCGAATTTCTTTCCAGAGGGCACAAATAACTTCAAGGTGATGTGCATAATTGGCTCTGCTGTACATACCACCTAAAATGCTCAATCTCCTTTTAGTACATTTCCCCTTTACAGTCTTATTGCACCTCAAGTCTACAGCATCTTTTGTTAGAATAGCTATTTCTCTTAAACCTCTCCAATTTCTTTATCTGTACATTTTTGTACACCATTAAAAAAATAAATATTTACAAAGTGACATACAAATAAATAAACTGAAGTAAAGTATGCTTTCAGTCTGTCTATACAAAAAATAAAAGAGCAGGAAAAAATATGCATGTGACTTGGTCCCCTTTTTCCTGAGGCTAAAAAGAGTGCACACTGGATAGGAAAAAGCACGATGGCTTTTTGGTAAGCTTGCTAAATTCCAGTGTAACACCATACACACACACACAGAGTAGACTCAAAGGGCTGGGGACTTGTTTAGCGGGTCACTTCAACTCACTACAAAAATAGTAATTAGGGTCAAATACATAAAGGTCACTGTGTGCATAAGTATGTTAACCCCAAATGGCAATCTTATGTGAGAAAAGTAAAAATATTGCCAGCTCTTCTCTGTTCTCCTGATGTTTGTGGCAGGAAAGATGAGATTATTTTTGCAAGTGCCAGGTGCTTTCCAGTATGGCAGATCACCCATATCAGAATTGCTTAATGCTGGCAAGCCTGGCAGAATGGGCGAGCATGTGGGTGAAAAGAAGAATATAGCAGCAATTGAGGAGGGGAAAAACGTCCCAGTTCTCATGGTTTTCTTTGCTCATTCCTTTAATGACTCTTTAAGCATGAAAGAGTTAAAGAATGGGTGCATCATCGTGGCTCTTAGGCAGCTTTGTTCATCTCCATCTTCTGGGGTGAGCCGGTTCCTCGTCCTTCAAAGACTCTGGAGATCTCTTCAAAAGTCCTGCCCTTGGTCTCTGGCACTTTGAAGAAGGTGAAGACAAAGAAGATGACCAGGAAAACAAGGAAGATGAGGAAGACATAGGAGCCACATAGTTTCTGCAGAGAAAACACACACACAATTTTTTTTCATATTACATGTAAGGTCATTTGCTGTTGAGAGGTTAAAATTCCAACACCTTTCTCCAACAGTGCCCTTACTGACTTTTTTCTCACCACAGCATTTTAAAAATTGAAATCACATTCCTATGGGCTTCTAGAAGTCTTTACTCTTCCTGAGGGTGACCAAAATTGATGCTTTTAAAGCAAAAGCAATGATGTGCTAAGATGGCTCTTGCAAATATTTGTAAGTTGCAACCAGTTAAAACGGCAGAATATAAGGTGAGCAACAGCCTCCAGTAACAATCATAACACTGACTCAGAGACCTCTGGAAGACTCACCAGCCCTCTTCCCAAAGCAGGGACAATTTCCAGGAGAGGCTAAGCTATTAAAGGTCATATATAGCCACGTGCCAAAGTCTTCAATGACGCAGATTCTACTGCTTTTCTGGACACCTCTTCCAATGGTGCAGTGTTTTCACACTGCTTCATAAACCAGGACTTACCTCGGCATAGGGGAAGAGCATTCCCACCAAGAAATTGGAGGTCCAGTTGGAACAACCAGCCACTGCCACAGCTGCAGGTCGTGGGCCCTGGCTGAAGAGTTCTGCCACAATGAACCACGGGATAGGGCCAGGGCCAATCTCAAAAAGAGCCACAAAGCCAAAAGTGGCAACAATGCTGATGTATCTGATCCAGTCCACGACATCCTGCAAGAGAACAAAGAATGATCAGCACAACGCCATCTCTAGCATCACAACTTTCTCAGCTGCACTGCAAACACTGTAGCAGTTTCCTGAGTTATAAAATTGCTCTTTCCATTGCACACTTGGCCCTACCTGCCTACAGGGCAGCATTGCAGGGAAAAGCAGATGTGTTTTCTTATAGTTTCCTGCTGGGGTCAGCCTGGACAATAACACCCATCACTCACCTTCAGAGCCAAAGCCACAGTCATAATAGCAGCACACACAGCCATGCCACCCAAACCAGCTAAATGGAGGGTCCGGCGGCCAGCACGCTCCACCAGGAACAGCTGGAAAGGAGAAGGCAGAAGGAAAAAAATGTCCATTACTTTGGCAGCAAAAGCAGGACAGACCTCCTTGCTCAGTATCTCCTGCATCTTCTCCTTATCTGCCCATAAACCTCAGAGACCACGATGATCTCAGTGCAGGTCACCAGGCTGCTCCATTGTCAGCACAAGTTCTTCCACTCTGGTTCTTACTGCTGCTCCCTCTCATCACTCTTTTCCCCACATGCACTCCTTTTCTACATTCTCTTTCATCTAAGATAACAACATCTCTTTCTGCCCATGTCTCCTCCCACCATGCCTTTGATGCGTGCTGGTCTTTGCTCCCACAGGTCAGTGCATAGCCCAGTGCTTTGCCACCACCTGGCTCCTTGTCTGTAGTGCCACCAGCCAGGGACACACCCAGGCAGACACAGCCCTGTCCCACTCACCGACACCACAGTGAAGACTGTGTTCACCACACCGGCTCCAATGGTGGCATAGACAGGCTGTGTGATACCAGCTCGTTCAAAAATCCCTGTGGAATAGTAGAACACCTGGCAAGGGAAGAGAAAGTTGGACAGAGTCACGATTCCATGTTTGAGAGCATGTCCCTCATCCTCTGCCTACCAGCTTGCACTCCCATCAGGGAGTTTCTAAGCAGCACTCCACACTATAAAACAGCATGCTTCCAGTCAAGGTTCATTCATGTGGTGCAAGGCTGCAGTGCCTCACCAGGGTGCACGTGGGCAAAGTGAAAGCCACAATATCCACTTTCCACCTCAGCATCTTTGCCAAATGACAAAACAGTGACCTCCATTCAAGGCAAAAAGATGTTTTGGGACTTGGAGTTCTCTCCACACCAGTAGCAAGTGCAAGTTTAGCCAGAGATAAGGGAGGCCCAGAAGATGGGACAGCAAGATAACTCACAGCATTGATGCCTGAGAGCTGCTGGGAGAGCTGCAGCATGATGGCAATGATAATGGCTTGACGGTAGTTTGGGGAACGGAAGAGCTCAGGCACAGTTACTTTCTTTTCCTGGGACATTTTAGCACTTTCTTCTTTCATCTCCTCGATGTCTTGAGATACATCTCGATCGCCACGGAGCTTCTGGAGAACTGGAGGGAAGAATCCAAAGACACCAGGCATGAGATACACACCTACCGGCCAGGGCAGGTGTGTGTCCCATCCTGCTGCTGCAGGGAGGGCACGGGAGGAAGACTCAACACCCCCAGCTGGTGTTGAGGCCTGCTGCATGGGAAAGGCCAAGCCTCTGCTGCCAGCCTTGCTCTTCTTCTCAACCCAGAGGTCAGGGTGCTGTGAACAGCACAGAAACTAGGCCCAGGTCCTGCTCATGTTTATTGATCTCCAAGGTTATGTTTGATCCTGAATTTCTGTTCATACTCTTGCCAGAGCTGACCCCAGCCCTCCAAGCTCCTGTTAAATGCCAACCTACTTCCTGCCTTTCAGCAGGAGCTGGGAGAGTGGCAGCAGCAGCTGGCCCTGCTACATCCCACCAGGCTAGGTGCCACTCCTCACATCTTGATCCCACCTGCAGCCTCTGTTGGGATGCCAGGTTTTTCATGCTTCCTGGCACTGGTGCAGCCTAAAGGATGGGAAGGTAGGCCAGGCCTGATGCCCTCCGGGAGTCACACCCTAATTCACCACAGGCACCAGGATCAGTCCTGGCTTCCCACTCAAGCTCAGTGCAGGCTGGGAGCCAGAACACTGCCCTGCCCCTTTGAGATGAGTTCTTACCTGCTTGGGCTTTCTCCTCCTCCATCTTGTTGATCAACAGGAAGCGGGGGCTTTCAGGGCAGAACAGAAGACCAATACACTGAATGATTGCTGGGAGGATTGTGAACCCCAAAAGCATTGGCCAAAGTCCTTCAGTGCCCATGATCGCCTCTAGTCCAAAGATCTACACCAAGGACAGAAGAGAAATAAGAGTGACTTCAAACACTTCAATTCCTCATCCCCACCCCAGTAGGACAGGATCCACACTCTGCCCCTGCTGGCAAGTAAAGCCCTCCTCACCCCACGTGAGGGCAGGATCAGGTTGTGCCAGGCCTACCTGAGCCACCAGGATGCCCACAACAATGCCCAGCTGGTTGAGGGTACCGAAGGCGCCACGGAGACTGGTGGGCGACACCTCGCTGATGTACATGGGCACAAAGCCGGTGCACAGGCCACAGAAGGTGCCGATGACAAAGCGGCCAATGATGAACATCTCCACCGATCCTGCTGCCTTAGAGAAGGCCATGAGAAGGCCACCAGCAAAGGCCAAGACATTCACAAGCAGCATGGAGTTCCTCCTGCCAGGGTAAAGATGTCAAGATTGAACTTAAACTGGCAATACAGCAGGAAAATCATCAGGAGAGGGGTAAATGTAAACCTGCCCATGATTGCCCATCTCAAGGGTGGGAACAGAATGGAATAATTCTCATTCAGATCCTGCCTTGGCCTGCAATCCTTTTTGCAGCCCACACAATCTTGCCTTCTCCCCACACGTCTCTCTCCACCTCGGCCCTCATCCTCCCACCACTCCTTTGTAAAGGGAAAAGTTCTCCAAACGCTTGCATCCCCCGCTTCCCAGCTTACCTGCCAAATCTGTTTACAAAGAGACTGACTGAGAATGAGCCAATCATTCCTCCTACTGAGAAGATGGCCACAGAAAGTGACCACAGGGAGGTGAGTAGTTCTTGGGAGGCCGCCGACCCGCTCCTTTCTGACAGGGTTCTGTTGAAAAAGCCCCGGATGATCTGCAAGAGGAGTCAGGTAGCAAGAATTACAATCCAGAGGGGGGCATTTTACAGGTGGGAGGGAGGAGACTGCCTTCCTTCTGCTTCCTGCTGCCATGAGAGAGACCCAGAAAGGCAGCAACAAGTTATACAAGGGGAAGACAAGGGCACAGAAGTAGCTCAGTATGATGAGGGACAGTGCTTCACTGAGTGGAGGGGCAGGCAGGGTAGCCGCAGGACAGCAGTGTTCATGAATGAGAACAGGCTTATCTTCTGAATATTTCAGATGAGTCACTGCTGGTTCCTGGGAGTTGGGAATGAAAGGTAACAAGAAAACATGACCAGTGAGTGGATGGGAACATTTCTGGCAATACCAAAACATCGACAGCAGGGATGGGATTTCTGGTATAGAAATAGCTGGAGACACACAAGGCTTCACTGAAGTAAGCCTGAAAAATTGTTTATTTCTTACATAATGCTGTCTCAGAGGGGATGTGACAGGGCCACGTTGCTGATTTCCCAGGCATCCTCCTAGCTGGTAAGGTAAATTCTGGCATGGGCGGGGGGGATGGAGTGTGTGCCCCCAGCAGATGGCAGCAGGACATTAACTAGGGAAGACTGACCCCATCCCCCATCCCGTGGTGAACATCTCTTCCCGGAGAGAGGGTGGATGTGGTATTCGTGACTCAGTTCTTGAGAGAGGAACCATCTTAAAGTTACACGAAAAGCACATCTCTCATTTTCTTCACCTCTTAGGCTACAGTCATGGGATGATTTGGTCAAATGTCCAAGTCACAACCCTTTTACAAGCACTGAATCTATACTTAACACAAGGAATGAATAAACAAGTAAAAAAAACTTGAAATAAACTAAATTAGGGCAGCTGTAATTCCTACCAACCTTTAACTGTTTTCTGCACACTGCTCTCTACATTCCTTCTGCCGTGGTTGGTTTATTCTGACTCAAAACTGAGGCAACTCACATTCCTCCACACACCATGTATGGCAGATGGAACCCTCCTGCCCTTCCTGTGCCTCTAATTAAGAGAATTAACCCCTCTGTTTGCTCTCCCCCCTCCCCAAAACTTTGTTCTTCCTGTTCAATATTGTATTTGAACGGGGGTTTTAATACCTTACTGACTTCATAAACCAAAACCAAATTACTTGGGAGACAGTCCCTCTCCTTTCTACACCACTGTGGTCCCATCAGCAACTCACCCATCCCACCTCCCCCTTCCTCTCACCTTCTCAGGGGCATTGATGACACCGGTGTTGTATCCAAATTGGAGGGATCCGATGGCAGCAATGGAAACCGCATAGATGAGAGGGGCTGTGAGTTTCTGTGGCAAGAGAGGGAACAATTATTTAGTTAATTTGGCTTTCTACACAACTTGAGCTTCTCTTCAGCATAAAGAGCAGCTGCAGCTCAGAGGTGCTCCATGCAAGTGCTCTGAGGGCAGGGAATGGGCTTTTATCCAGCGAGGGTGAGTACCAGTTGCATCCCTCGGATCCCCCTCCCTAGAAAGGAAGATGCAACTGTACAGCATGAAAAGTTCCGCGGCTACAAGTGGGAGGGTTTGTCAGGGCCTCCCCTTTGTTATCTCCTGACCTTCAGCAACTATTCTCAGCTCATCAGTAACAAATACACTGCCTGCATTAGTGGCTGTTATTTTGGGTTGATCTGCTTTGCAGCAGCTTTTGCTGATCTCTGGCATGTCATGAAAGAAAGGTCTAACTCTTCCCTGAGCCAGCTGACAAGTTCCCATAAATTGAGTCTCAGATCTGGCCATGAGCTACACTGGCAGTCACTCACAACAGTTACAACACGAAGATCGGCAACAGGCTTGTTTTTCCCAGGCTAGGGCTTCCCATCCCTGCCCCAGGGCACTGGCACAGCGGCTGCATCAAGAGGTGGCAGCAGTTGCTACCGAGCTCTCCGTCTATTTTTCTTTAAGCTGTGGCAATAGTTGGTATCTTACATGAAGCACGCTCCCTGAAGTTTCAGTGTACCCTGAATCTCTAGTAAATTAAAATAAAAACTGCTGAGCCCTTAGACCCATAGGGAAAGTTTAGGGACCAACCTCAGAAGTCCCACAGAGAAACTGAAGTGTCAGCAAAAAGCATCTGACATTTTATTCATTTTTAAAGCTTGTGGCATTTAAGCCAGCTCCGAGTGAGGAAGGTGTGGGGGTGCAGGTGACTCAGGAGTTGGCACTTAGGCAGCCACTGCCTGAGTTGGCACAATTCAGAAAGATTGTGTTCCTTCCCATCTCAGTAGGTTTGGAAGCTTTTCCAAAAATATTAACAGCTCCTTTTCCAAGACTTTCCAATTATTGTACTTAAGCCTGGCAGAGTAAACTACTAGGTGGGGCCCACTGTCACATCTCCTCCAGTCTCTCACTTTCTAGCTCGGCTCCAGGAGTAGCAGCTCTCAAAACTGCCCAAAGTTTTGGACAATAACCTTCTGTTATACAGTGCTTGTGCCACCTCCACCAATCTTTCAAGCCAAGTGTGTATGTGCTTCTGGCCTGCACAACCCTCAGACACAACCAGTTCTGCCTCAATAAACAACATTTGGGGAAAGGACTCTCAGGCACAACTTCCTCCACCGACCTACATCACGTAAATGTCCTCCTGCCCAGGTCAGTGGTGGCGACAAAATGGACACGGGGCAGATGAGCACGGAGGTGCATTCAAACCTGAACAAACCCTAGGCAGGCCAGGCATTTTCCCTGGCACCCTGTGACTGCTCCCCTCATTTTTATCTCAAGGAAATTTGGCACAGAACCACAAGGACACAGCTCTTCCAAAGCAACTCAATGCCTGCAAAAAACGCATTATAATATCTAAACAGTTTTGGGACTCCAGGCCAGGTCATCTCTATCCAGCAGGTATGGCAAAGCTGCAGACAAACCCCAGCTCTCCACATGGCTCACACAGGAGCACCTTCCCTCCAGGACTCTGCTTTGTCATGGCTAGCAGTGACCACAGCTGGCCGTCTCCTTCTGGGTGCTGCAGGGACCACAGGGTGCCTGCTTTGTGGGCACCCCTCACTTACAGGACATATAAATGAGCTGCAGGGTTAGTTGTTCTGCCCTCTTTCACGCTTCCTCCTCCTGGCTGCTGCCTGCTATTCATCTTCTGCCCAGCCTCCCACCACCTAGACATCACACGGCATGACCCATCCCCTCCAGCGAGCCAGACCGTGATCTAATGTATGGATCATTTGTTCGTGCTGTAAGTGCCTCGCTTCCCAAAAGGCAAACAGGGAGCTCAGAAATAGTACAGCTACACCCACTCTATCCGAAGGCTCAAGGCTGAGGTCTTGAGCACCAGCACGGAATTCAAACCACCACCCCTCCCTCCGACCACAGGCGTCGGCAGCATTCGTTCGCAGGAGATGCTCCTCACCAGCTCCCCTCCCTCGCTGCCTCCAACCCCAGAGCTGCACAACTTGTTGAGCCCGGCAGGAGTGGCCTCTCCCCGCTGCTCTGAACGACCTTGACCAGACGCTCTCTTTGCCCCATCCTCTCACACTGCCCTCATCTCCCATCAATATGGCGATGAGAGCGCCGGCCCTCTCCAATTCTGGCTGTTCCCGTGTAATTCCCCGGCATCCTGCCCCAGGTTCAGGCGGGTATGTGCTGTCTCCTTTAGTACGTTCAAATACACGCAGTCATGAGCTCACTGCCGCTGCAGACGAGGAGATGTCGACAAATATCCCCTGCTCTCCATATGAGAAGAAGGGGAAGGACACGCTCTGCCACCTTCTTGAAATTTTAAAATGCCTTTATAAGTCATACTGCCACCACTCAAAAAAAAAAATCTTTAGCATCAATCTCCCGCTTAGCATCCTAAACCCAGGGACCAACCGAGTGCGGCGCCGCCAGCGAAGCAAACCTCGTGACCAATATCCTACAACGCGGACAGCATCGCGTGCATCATCAGGCCACGCGCACGGAACCAAAAATCGATCGCGCGACCTGCGCCAACCTCTCCCGAACCATGCGGTCCCCATCCTCCATCCCCCATCCCTCCCGGAGACAGAGCCGCCAAAGGACCGAGCAGCGGCCCCGCCGAGCCCACCGCCGCATCCCTGCCCACGCCGAGCCGCAGGCGAACGCCGGCCGCGACCGCATCCCTCCGCCCAGCAGCCCGGGGAGCCGAGCGGCGGCGGCAGCAGCGGGGAGAAAGAGGGCGAGAGGGATGCGCGATGGCTCGCCTACCTTCTTGGTGTCCATCGTCGGCGGCTCCCGGTGCCCGACTGCCAGCGAACGGCCGCCCGCCGCTCCTAACGGAACCCGCGAGAGGCGGCGGCGGCTGCGCCCGCCCACACCCGAGCCTGCCCGAACCGCCCCGCGCACGCCGCCGCCCGCGCCCGCCGCCGCTTTATGGGCCCGGCCGTGGGAGGGGACACGGAGGGGCGGGGCGGCTGCCCCACGCCAAAACACAGCAATCACAGAGCACCCCCCGAGCTCACGCCCCTCCGTGACGGGAACCTGCGTGCGGGGCGGCCGGGCGGTGATGGAGCGGGCCCGGCGGCCGTGGGGGGGCGATGGCCCCGCGCTACCCGCGCCCCGCAGGGACCGCGCAAGGAGCCGCCACACCTCGGATGCTACGCGCGAAGCTTTCGCGAATGGCACAAATCAGTTTTTTTGGGCGGCTTGCACGGATGGCGGCTGCGTGACGTAAAGCGACGTCTTTATTTATTATTTGTTGTATGTAAAAATAAATGTATTTATTATTCGGTCTGTAAGATAAAGCAGCAAGGCGGGCAGTGACGGTGCAGAGGCAGGCACGCAAACAGCACCGGCAGTAGCATTAAGTCTGCGGGTGCTGCCACCACCTCGCATAGCTGTGGATGAAGTACACTTCTGGGTAGCTGCGTTTCGGGGATTTTTTTGTTTGTCTGGTTGCCAAAAATACACTTTTCATACGATGCTGGAATCTACAGAGGCAAAGTTGAAGCTGGATCTGGTCCCAGACTTACCCCTTCCTTACAAGGGCATGTAGTGACAGGATATGGGGGAATGGTTTCAAAATGACAGAGGGCAGGTTTAGATTAGAAAACAGGAAGAAACTCTTTACTGTGAAGGTGGTAGAGTATTGGCAGAGATTTCCCAGAGAAATTGGGGATGCCCCATCCATGGAAGTTCATAAGGCCAGGTTGGATGTGGCTTTGAGAAAAAAGTAGAAAGTGTCACTACCATTTTAAAGGTCCTCTCCAACTCAAACCATTCAATGAGTCTATAATTCAATCAAACGCTACTGTGCTCCACATTTACTGTCCATCCTTCAGGTCAAACAATTGCCAAACTCTTCCAGAAGAATAATGAAGAGCTGTGCTTTGAATCAAGCAAAAGTGGTGCCAAACAGTAAAAGTCTTCACTGAATTAAGAATCTGTCAAGGACTTTGACTTCAGAAAAAGCAGCAGCTGAGGGCTGGGGGCAAGGACAATGGAAAAAAAGCTGACTTACCCTGGTTTTTATTGTTAGGAAAAATACCTTGAGACCAGACACCACTCTTGCCATCAAATTCTGGGGAACTGGAACAATCACCTTTTAAATTTGATTGTGCTGTTTATTTGGTGTCACCACCTGGCCACACGTAACTAAATTTACAGGTCAAGGCTTTCCTTCACTCACCCTCACAAATACCCATTTATTTCATGGCATTTATGAGGGTGATGGATAAAACACCCTCATGGGATGTTTATGTGTTGCATTTATTTGATAAATATCTCATGGGTATTCTGTGTGTTGTTGTTAAAATATTATTTGCTAGCAGAAGAAGTGTGTAAGGGCACGGGATGCCTGCACAGTCCTCCTTCCGCAGCTGTGTGACAAGAGCGCCTGTTCACACCCACAGGGGAGCACCGAGGGACAATGGCAGAAGGAGGGCCCCATCTAACACTCCGTCCCAGCTACTCCCCGGCCCCTCACAGCAGCCATTAGCACTTCAAAGGTTCCATTTTCATACACCAAGAGGAAAACAGGGACACAATGCCAGGTGAGGACCCGGATTAAGGACACCCTGCCTGGGCCAGCAGCCCAGGTGTGAAATTCATCACAAAGCCAAAGCTGGAGCACCTTTCAAACTGCGAAAGAGGAGATGCTGTGTACAGGGGCACAGACACCTTACAGGATGTAGGGGAAGAGCATTTTGGGATTGTAGGAGACATACTGTGGGATGTTTAGGGGAGGAAACAAAGAGGGGAAAGGGAGAGGTATGGAGGAAGAAGGTACACTTGCATGAAAATTCTTGGCTAACCTGCACTTGGTTAGCACGGTTTGCCCTACCTCGTTATTAAATCCTATTTTTAGGGGTGAGGTGCCCTCTGTAGGGGTGAGTACCACTGGTGTCTTCTTGTCTCTGAGGGTGAGTCCATGCCAGTTTGGCTCCTGGGGGCACAGGAGTGTCCTGGGCATCCGTGCACACACCTCTGTGTGTGTGTACCAGCAACAGGAGCGGGGCTGCAGCCTTGTGCCAGCACCAGAGAGACTGGTGTCTGTGGTCAGACTGTCTGAGCCCAGCTCCTTGGAAGGATCCACCTTATCATATTTACATGTATTTTCCCCACTGCTGGAGCTCCCTCCTGCTCCTCCTCTGAGGTCACTGATGCTGTTTGTGTAACTGCGCTGGTGCTGTTTGTGTAACTGCACCGTGTGAGTTTATGCACGTGCCTCCAGGAAATACAGGGTCATCCTTGCTCCTGGGAGCAAAGAGCTATGTCAACCTCACCTCTGTCCAGTTTGAGTACATTTTCCTTTTTCCTAGCTTATTTCCCATTTGTTTGCAAGCACAGGAAGCTCCACGTTCAATCTGATCACCCATCTGTCCCAAATTGGCATTAGCTCTGGAAATATTAATTTACTTGTTAGTGTGAGAAGTTGGCATATTTGTGGAGGCTTTAAGCATATTCACATTTCAGAGAGACAATCTTTGGACTGCATTCTTCTGAAATGTCCTCATTCGTTGTTTATTCTTAACACACATAAGTCTGTTGCAAATGCTGAGCAACCCGAACTTCAAGATTAGATTAAATACATACATAGCTACTGGTCCAATTTAGAAGTAATAAAAGTGTAGCTGAAAATTAAGTCTCTAACACACAATGGAGAACATCATGGGTAGCAGGTCTTTATTTAATAGAGCTGGAAAAGTTAACAGCAATAAGAAAGACGGTTTCTTTCTCAAGCTCAAAATGCATCACTGAAACCCCAATTTCCCTAAGGAATGTGCGGGAAAATACCCATTTCAGTGAGCTTTGCCCCTGTGTGCTGATGCTCAAATATTTAGATTTGAAGTTTGCATCACAGCCTGTTCCTCCTAAATACCAGTTTTGTTTCTGTCCCAGGACACACGCCTACCTCCCACATTACTGCTAATTCTTCTGAAGATCGGCTGCTGGGGGAAGTACCTTAACACCTCCTTAGCAGGGCTATCTGATACCGCACCAAAACCATCCATCTTTTGGGGAATGTAATACTCGTGTACTGTGCAAAGTGCAGTAACTGTGCTGGGATGGAGGCCCATGGCATGTGGGCAGCCAGACCTAGGGTTGCTAGGGGAAGGGCCAGGCAGAACCGGTCCCAAGCAGAACCTGATGCTGGCTGCCCCACATTAAACACCGGTATCCTAACCACAGAGCTGTGGGGATTGGGAAAGGCCTGTCTTTTGCTTAACAAGCTTTTTTCTTTTTAGCTTTGAGAACGCTTGCATGTCTAAACTAGTGCATGCCAACTAGCATTTCACTTCCAGGGAGCTTACATTTTCTGAGAAAGGCTGGTTTAATCAGAGAGCCCCTATCTAACATTAAGCAAGAGCTCCAACGATGAGCAAGCCTGTTCTTATTTTAATTTATCTCAGGGACTGGAGCTGGCATGTCACCCCACAGAAGCACTCTGCTGTGGCTTTTTGAGAATGTCAGTGGAGATCCAGCAGGTACAGTTCTCTGGCAAACACATTCCATATACACAAGGCCTTGGCTCAAGGCACAAATGAGGAGAAGGTGCCAAAAATTAGGTGCTAAAAAAATTTTACAACTAACATTTTTGGTCCTGTCCATGCCTCTACAACCTAATGTGAGCACAGACTGATCAACAGGGATTGATCAACCACATTGCTGTCTAAACTCCTGGTAAGCTATATTTCACCTACTTTAATGAATCTGCCCAAGTTGCAGTTCAGTGGTGCTGCCCCATATGATGAAGCTCTTTCCAGTCTCTCTCACCTCCAAATTTGGCAAATCCTATCTCGTGTTTCTTCTTATTTTGCCTGGAGAACAAATTCTTCAGAGATAAGAGGAGCAGGGACAAGGAAGATTATTATGCAGTGTTTGCCTTGAGAGCTGATTTTGTGCTTTACTGTTTGTTGTGTTTATAACAAAAGAGCATTCAGAACAAAGGAGAGAGAATGAGAGCCAGCATGGGCCAGATGCTTCCCCCTCAAGCCATGAGTAACTTTTATTGTTGAGAGGAGGTTAGGAGGAGGGGGGGGGAAGAAGGGGAGGAAAGATAAAAGAGAGAAACAAGATGATGGGTGGGATGTAGGTTGGCCTGTAAACAACAGGAGGTTAAACGAGTGAGAAAAGAACCAATGGAGAGACAGAAGCCAAAAACAAAAGGACATAATGAGGTGAAGAAAGAAAATACTAAAGCAGATTAGAAGGGCAAGGCAGAAGAATAGAAGAGAAAAAATATCAGAGGAAGAAGGATAACTTGTGAATAGTCAGAAAAGATGAACAGAGAGGTAGAGGAGGAAGCTACCAAATTGCCCAGCTAAAAAAGCACAGACATAGCACTGGAGAGATCACAGCAGTAACCCAAGGCACCTTTAAATTCTGCCCTCAACCACGGTGCAGTATAGGCTGAAGCTACTGTCTGAAAACTTTGGTCATTAAGCTGACTGGTTAGTCTGAAGGAAACCAAAGTTAAAAGTTTTAATACTTTCCCCGTTGCCTTCAAAAGGGGAAGTATCTGTTGTAAAAAAAAAAAAAAAAAAAATCAGCGGAAACCAATTTTTATTGCTTTAACAATGATTCACAAAGAGGAACTAACTTTATTACAAGAATGAATAGTTCTGCAGAAACCTACATGCTGGAGAGGAAACCAGCATCCCCTTGCAAATTCTGTCCTGGTGTATGTGAAAGACGTGACAAGCCCCTGGAAGTCCTCTAAGGTTTCCTAGTCCCATTTCCTATAATGCTTCAGGCCTTGTCCTCTTCTTTTGTTCTGACTGGAAAAAGACTCCTGGCCTGCATCTAGGCCACAAGCCTGCTTTTTTTCCTGGTTGATTTTGCCTTGTGAAACCAGGCTTTCTAGCAAAGAGAGGAGCTAGGTACCTGTACATTTGCCT